AACTTCCCTCTTCAGATCTCCAAGAGCACAGTGTCACAGAAAAGAGCAACTGTGACAACTCCCACTTTAGTTTGATTCTTTATCTTTAACTCCACGCCTCTTCTAAATTTTCGCATTCACTTCTTTAAAACCCCCCATCTAAAAATATGTTGAACACCACAGTGAATCACACTTCTTGTCAAAGGGCCTACTTTTACGGGGAAACAATTTTTCCTCTTTCCTGCTACCAAAACTTGACCCTCACATCCTCAAAAATTTTCCTTTTCATAACCTACCTTTTTCCTATACCCACCTCAAATTCCACATTGCCCCCCCCTTTCCCACCTGCTTGTTTTCCCTATAATATAAAAACTCTTTTTACCCTAACGTTCACTTTATTTTTCATGTAAACTTTTCTCAAAAACCCCACCTTTCCAAACCCTTTTTGCACTGCAACCCTATCCGGGTCTTACTCTAATTTTTTTCAAAATAAACCACCAAACTTTACCAGGTAAAAACTAACAGACTTCAACCCTATAATTTTTCACTCTTTTTTTCCCCCTTTCCCTTTATACAAAGGAAAATGCACATCTCTGCCATCCCAGGTACCTTACCCTCTTTATAATTTATTAAATTAATTGCCCCAACCACCCAAAAACTATTCCCCCCCTGTTTTTAACATTCTACTTTATCCCATAAACCCCCGCTGCCTTACCTCCTTTCATTCTCCCCCTGCCTCACAAATTTCCCCCCAAACTCCAACTGTCTCTCCTCACCCCTACAAGATGTTATTCCCCCTTTCCCCTATACACGAAATCACAGCTTCCCATCTTCATCAACTTTTAAACAATTCCCAAAATATTCCCTCCATTTTCCCGATACCTCAACTCTCTATTTAATAACTTCCTCTCCTATTTTTTAACTACAAACCCTTTTTGTCCCTAGGTTCCTCAACTTTTTAATCTCACCCCAAAACTTTTTCTTAGTTTCAATAAAATTTTTGATAACATCTCCCCGATTCCCCCTTTTTGGGGCTCTTTTTACATTGCTTCACCACTCTCTTAACCTCTCTTTTTTTCCCCAATACCTTCCCTCCTTCTCACTTCTCTTTGTAAAAACCTCTCATATCTAAATTTTTCCCCGATACTCTCTTTACATCATTCCCCAATTGCCCTCTTCCCCCCCATCCCCACTTTCCTGTAACCACAAATCTGCGAACACTCTAACACTACATTTTTAAACCTACCCCATACATCTTCGACCCCATGCCTATTGTTGCGAACCTAGAAACAAATAAAGGGGAGGTGGTTGACGACCATTTGGGTCTGCATGATTGTTACCTGGCATACCCTGTGTGACTTTCAGAACCCAATGAGGGGGCTGCTTAGCCGGCCTCAGTATCAGAAAAGAGTATTCTCCACAGAGTGTTAAAACCATGCCACTGAGTTGACGGCCTCAAAAGAGTGTATTCACCCGTGTTTCACCTTGCTGTTCACCACTGTTACACCACCACTTTACTTGGTTTACTGCTGATTACCATGACGCTGGAAACACGGTTGGTAGTGTCAGTGAAACACGGGCGAGGGTGTCGTGTGAAGACACGGGCGAGTAGTCATGTGAAGAACGGGCCCCAAGGGATGTCGATGAAGACACAGCCAGGTGTGTGTGTTTGGGAAACCGGGCGAGGGGTTCGTGGAAGACACGGGCGAGGGGTGTCGTTTAAGAAAAGGTCAAAGGGAGAGAGAGAGAAGAAAGAGACGAGGAGAGAGAGAGAGAGAGATATTCTTAAGCGCCACTGCCTCACATCGCCCTTTTATTTCTCATTACGCACTGGTGCTGCGGGTTTTTTTTATACTGGCCACATGACCCAAAAGACCCTTCTTTCATATGTAGGTACAGCTTTCACTAGATTTGAAGGGGCTAAATTTATGATACTGTATTCATGGACTTGATGCGTAAGCCTACTGATTGGGCCCAAAACCCCGAAAGGTTTAAAAAGGGAGGGGGGTTTTAGTGCGATGTGTCTGTTGTGGGGGGGGGGGAGCTGTAAGGGGAGAGAATGGGAGGGGACAGGGAGAATGATGAGGGGTAGAGAGAGTGGGAAGGTGAGTAGGAGAGAAATGGGGGAAGGGGGGGAGGAGGAAAAAAAAGGGAAAGGGGGGAGGGGGAAGGCAAAGAAGAGAAGAGGAGAGAGGGGAAAAGAAAGAGAAAGAAAGGCAAAGGGGGGAGGGAAAAGGGGAGGATAAAAAGAAGGAGAGAGACGACAGACACGAGAAGAGAGAGAGAGAGAAAAGAGAGACAGAAGACAGAGAGAGAAGACGAGAGAGGAGAGAGAGAGACGAGAAGAGAGAGAGAGACAGAGAAAGAGAAAAAAGAGAGGAGAGGACAGAGAGAGGGGAGGACAGAGAGAGAAGAAAAAAGAGAGAGAAGAGAGACAGAGAGAGACGAGAGAGAGGGAAAAGAGAAGAGAAGAGAGGGGGGGGAGAGAGAGGGAAGGGGAGAGAGAGGGAAGAGAAAGAAAGAGAACAGAAAAGGAGAGAGAGAGAGGGGAGAGAGAGAGAGAGGGGAGAGAGAGAGAGAGAGAGAGAAGAGAAAAGACAGAGAGAGGGGACAAGGAAAAGAAGACAGAGAGAAGGAACAGAGAGAAGAGACAGAGAGAGAGAGGAAGGAGAAGAGAGAGAGAGAGAAGAGAGAGGAGAGAGAGAAGAGAGAGAGAAAAGAGAGAGGAAGACAGACAGACAGACAGAGAGACAGACAGTGAGAAAGAGACAGTGAGAAAGAGACAGTGAGAAAGAGAGAGAGAGAGAGAGAGAGCAGGGGGGAGGGGCATGAAATTACTGCAAAACAAGTCATCGAGAGAGAGAGAGATTCATTACAGCAGCCACTACCTCAGCATCTGCCCTTTCATTTCCCAGGGCAATAACTGAACTCCACATTCTTAAGCTATGCATAGTGCATAGTGCTCCACTGTAGTTGTGGAAAAAGACACTTATGTACAGTTCAAGACATTTATTAAAGGAAACATTTCGCCACGAGTGGTTTCTTCAATCTTAATACAGTGGACCCTCGACCAGCGATGGCATCGATTAACGATAAATCTGACTAGCAATACATTTTATAGCAAAAATTTTGCCTCGATTAGCGCTAAAAAACTCGACCAACACTATTCCTTCCGTCTGAGACACGTCCAGTTCTGGCCAGCGTTTACAAGCCAGCCAGCCACCGCGGTTGCTTCTAAGCATACAATCGGAACATTTCATATTATCACAGCCTTTTTAGTGATTGCACCTGCAAAATAAGTCACCATGGGCCCCAAGAAAGCTTCTAGTGCCAACCCCACAGCAAAAAGGGTGAGAATTACTATGGATATGAAGAAAGAGATCATTGCTAAGTATGAAAGTGGAGTGCATGTCTCCGAGCTGGCCAGGCTGTACACAAAACCCCAATCAACCATCGCTACTATTGTGGCCAAGAAATCGGCAATCAAGGAAGCTGTTCTTGCCAAAGGTGCAACTATGTTTTCGAAACTGAGATCACAAGTGATAGAAGATGTTGAGAGACTGTTATTGGTATGGATAAATGAAAAACAGATAGCAGGAGATAGCATCTCTCAAGCGATCATATGTGAAAAGGCTAGGAAGTTGCATGACGATTTAATTAGAAAAATGCCAGCAACTAGTGGTGATGCGAGTGAATTTAAGGCCAGCAAAGGTTGGTTTGAGAGATTTAAGAATCGTAGTGGCATACATAGTGTGATAAGGCATGGTGAGGCTGCCAGTTTGGACCAAAAAGCAGCTGAAAAATATGTGCAGGAATTCAAGGAGTACATAGACAGTGAAGGACTGAAACCTGAACAAGTGTTTAAAGGTGACACTGACAATGTTGTGAAACACTTTAGGAATGTCATAAAGGAACGGGAGGTACAGGCCTCTATGGGCAGAAATGATGTGCGACAGAGGTCCAGTGACTCTCAAGCTGGTCCTAGTGGCATTAAAAGAAGAAAGGAAGTAACCCCGAAAAAGGACTTGCCACCTCAAGTCCTAATGGAAGGGGATTCCCCTTCTAAACACTAAGACCATCAACACACTCCCCTCTTCCCATCCCATCAATCATCACCAGATCTTCAATAAAGGTAAGTGTCATGTAACTGTGCATGTCTTCTTCAGTTTGTGTGTATTAAAATTAATATTTCATGTGTTAAAATATTTTTTTTCAATACTTTTGGGTGTCTTGCACGGATTAATTTGATTTCCATTATTTTTTATGGGGAAAATTAACTTGACTAACGATTATTTTGACTAACGATGAGCTCTCAGGAACGGATTAATAACGTTAGTCGAGGGTCCACTGTACAGAGAAAACTAAGAAAACGCATATACATATAGTGGTAGGAGTCAGGTGAAGTGTCGCTTGGATAGAGGTAGTAGTAGTGGTAGTAGTAGTAGTGGTGGTAGTAGTAGTAGTAGTGGTGGTGGTAGTAGTAGTAGTAGTGGTGGTAGTAGTAGTAGTAGTGGTGGTAGTAGTAGTAGTAGTGGTGGTAGTCGTGGTGGGACGGATGGCTACAGAGGGACCTGTTGACAACTGTACATAAGTGTCTTTTTCCACATCTTGTCGGTATCACCATACTATTTCCTCCACTGTAGTTGTTGAATTGTAGATGTTATTAGTGTAATTTCAACGGCAGGTATGAATGCACCTTAAGCATCTTTCATACAGTACATGCAGATTTGAGTGCAGCTTCAACATCTTCCATACAATACCTACTAGTGTTAAAACTTTGTGTGTGTTCATATCAATCTAGCATGACTTTTTTTTTGCAACATATTTTACCGAGGTTAAGTACAATGTGCATCAAGATTCATCTTTAAGTGAGGGTTTAAAATTAATCAGTGATGTTACAATGCAGTACTGAGCAATGATTTACACTGATTTGACCTGTTTACCCATCTTCTATGAAAAGTTTACTTTGATACACAAACCTTTAAGGTCAATAATGCAACATTTCTCAAGGATTGACTGACCAAATGTGTGAAGAAAGTCTTGAAAGTATTCAGGCTTGCCATGTATTGCCTGAAACAGCTTGAACAGTGCATGGTAGGCCAAGAACCTGCGGTATACAGACACCAGGGGGAAATTCTCCACCAGAGACATGGCCAGATTCTGCACACTATCAATGATCCCAATGTTTATCTGGAACAAAAAATGAAGATAATAATAATGTGGAATTTTATCATTCTTGAGCACCGGCTCTTTCAGGGAAATCACAAATGTTCACAATCCAAACCATATGTACATACACAAATATCCCACATATAGGAGAGAGCATACGACGCCAGTTTCGGTCCGACTTGGACCATTTACAAAGTCACACCGACAGAAAGGAGGAGCCAGTATATATAGGCAAGCTGGCAGGCACAGGACAAGAAATGTAGGACAAGTAGTAGCAGTAGTAGTAGAGGTAATGCAGGTAGTGGTAGTAGCAGTGGTAGAGGTAAGGCTGGTACTGTAAGTAGTAGTGGTAACGGTAAGGCTTGTGATAGTGGTAAGGCTGGTGGTGGTAGTAGTAGTGGTAGTGGTAAGGCTGGTACTTTAAGTAGTAGTGGAAGTGGTAAGGCTGGTACTGTAAGTAGTAGTGGAAGTGGTAAGGCTGGTACTGTAAGTAGTAGTGGTAGTGGTAAGGCTCGTGGTAGTGGTAAGGCTCGTGGTAGTGGTAAGGCTGGTAGTGGTAGTGGTAAGGCTGGTAGTGGTAGTGGTAAGGCTGGTAGTGGTAGTACTTGTGGTAAGGCTGGTAGTGGTAGGAGTAGTGGTAAGGCTAGTAGTAAAAGTAGTAGTGGTAGAGGTAAGGCTTGTAGTGGAAGTAATAGTGGTAGAGGTAATGCTAGTAGTGGTAGAGGTAAGGCTGGTAGTGGAAGTAGTAGTGGTAGAGGTAATGCACTAGTGGAAGTAGTAGTGGTAGAGGTAATGCTAGTAGTGGAAATAGTAGTGGTAGAGGTAATGCTAGTAGTGGAAGTAGTAGTGGTAGAGGTAATGCTAGTAGTGAAAGTAGTAGTGGTAGAGGAAAGGCTTGTAGTGGAAGTAGTAGTAGTAATAATAGTGTGAAGTAGGTAGTGGTTGGTGGGACAAGATATAGAACAGTGGAGAGAAAATGGAGGCAAAAGAGAAGGTAGGAGCCAAAGGAAGCAAGGAAGGAAGTAGTAGTAGTGGAGTCAAAGGCCATGAAAGAGAAGCACTGCAGGAGAGCTAAGAGCCCACAAGGAGTAAGACCAAAAAAATCAAGAGGAAAAAAAAATAAAGGATAAAACACCCAAGGCAGAAGAAAGGAAACCCAAAACAAGAAAAAAATAAAAGAAAGGAGAAGAGGTAGAAAGAGAAGAAAAGAAGAATCAGATTAAGTCACATGTGTTCTGAAGTTTGAAGCACTTGACAATGTAATGGGATAGGAAGGAATCTACAGAGACAAAGCCAGGATTAAGGTACACACAAGGAAAACTGTGTATAGGAAAGGATTCAACAGGACAGCAACTGTGAAAGTTATAAGTAGGGTAGACAGTTTTAGCAGAAGACCAATCAACAGGATGACTGTGATCTCTAAAATGACAGAAAAGAGCATTATTGGTGTTAATAAGCCTAACACTTCTTTTGTGCTCACTGAGTCTGTCAAAAAGAGAACAACCAGTTTCTCCATAGTACTGAAGAGGACAAGAGGAACGTGAAACACAATAGACATCAGAGGCATTTAGAGTGGGAGGAGAGGTACGAACTAGATTAGTGCAAAGGGTGATAGTCTGGCAAAAAGTAAGTTTGATGTCTAAGGAACGGAGAGAGTTGAGATTAGAAAAACTGGAAATATAGAGAAGGCAAAGTACAGGAGATTGAAAATTTTAGCAATCATGCAATACGTACATCCTTTCAAAATATTTTTACACATGCATACTGGTGACGGTGGTAAGCAAGATACACCACCATCACTCTTGATATTTTCATACTGTGTGTGACCATTAAATGACAGACCATAATATTTTATTTTAGTGAAACTTTCTACTTTTATCATAGTTATTCAGATCCATAACCTTGAACATTTCAGCATTAAATGAACATAAATCCTACAACTCAAGCATAAATTTATATTATCAAGTTATTCACTATATTACTAATTGTAAAAGTTCTGAATCCTCATCAATGGATAATTATAAACTTGTATTAACCCCTAAATGGTCCAAATGTATATATATACGTTCACTCACGCAGCGCCCTGAATATTTTGAATATATATATATATATATATATATATATATATATATATATATATATATATATATATATATATATATATATATATATATATATATATATATATAATATATATATATAAAAGAGCAAATTTTTTAAGTGTTTTAGAATAAAAAAAATTAGGGTCAGTACTTACAGAGATATGAGGAAGAGAAGTTGGCACTGGATGCTCATGTGACAGCAACATGGAGTCCTACTGCTTGCAGAAATGTTGCCAATATACCTTTTTTTCTATTTTCAATTTTTTTTTTTAACAAGTAGGCCGTCTCCCACCGAGGCAGGGTGACCCAAAAAGAAAGAAAATTCCCAAAAAGAAAATACTTTCATCATTCAAATCTTCCACCTCACTCACACATAATCACTGTTTTTGCAGAGGTGCTCAGAACACAACAGCTTAGAAGCATATACGAATAAAGATATACAACATATCCCTCCAAACTGCCAATATCTCGAACCCCTCCTTTAGAGTGCAGGCACTGTACTTCCCACTTCCAGGACTCTAGTCCGGCTATACAAAAATAACCAGTTTCCCTGAATCCCTTCACTAAATATTACCCTGCTCACACTCAACAGATCGTCAGGTCCCAAATACCATTCGTCTCCATTCACTCCTATCGAACACGCTCAAATACGACTGCTGGAAGTCCAAGCCCCTCGCCTACAAAACCTCCCTTACCCCTTCCTTCCAACCTTTTCGAAGACGAACCCTACCCCGCCTTCCTTCCCCTACAGATTTAAATGCTCTCCATGTCATTCTACTTTGATCCATTCTCTCTAAATGACCAAACCACCTCAACAATCCCTCTTCAGCCCTCTGACTAATATTTGTATTAACTCCACACCTCCTAATTTCCACACTCTGAATTTTTTGCATAATATTTACACCACACATTGCCCTTAGACAGGACATCTCCACTGCCTCCAACCGCCTCCTCGCTGCTGCATTCACAACCCAAGCTTCACACCCATATAAGTGTGTTGGTACTACTATACTTTCATACATTCCCTTCTTTGCCTCCATAGGTAATGTTGCTTGTCTCCACATATACCTCAACGCACCACTCACCTTTTGTCCCTCATCAAGTCTATGATTAACCTCATCCTTCATAAATCCATTCGCTGACACATCAACTCCCAAATATCTGAAAACATTCACTTCTTCCATACTCCTACTCAATTTGATATCCGGTTTTTCTTTATCTAAATCATTTGATACCCTCATCACCTTACTCTTTTCTATGTTCACTTTCAACTTTCTACCTTTACACACACTCCCAAACTCATCCACTAACCTTTGCAATTATTCTTTAGAATCTCCCATAAGCACAGTATGATCAGCAAAAAGCAACTGTGTCAATTCCCACTTTGTATTTGATTCCCAATACAGTAGGGCCCCACTTATACGGCTGGTTAGGTTCCAGGCTACCGCCGTAAAGCGGAAACCGCCGTAAAGTGGAACACCCTTTTTTTCCACTTACAAATGCATACAAACACTAGGTAACAAGTTTACACTAACATATATTAAGTTAGCAATAGAACCAGGCATCAAAAAACAATAAAAAAGTACAATACACACATAGTGCACTCATTACTTACCTCTCGTTACTTACCTTAAAATATTTGTAGTCTTAATGTAGGGTCAGGAGTAAGTAAATGAGATAAAATGAATAAATGAGAGAGAGAAAGAATGAGTGCATGAGAGAGGACAGGCGCAGAGTTATGTAAACAAACCAGACGAAGGTAAGTTTTGTATGATCAGCACACAAATGACCTACCAAATGCTTCGCAATTACTCAAACCCACACTTTTTGCAGATGACACTACATACGTCTTCTCTCACCCGAGCCCAGTCACGCTAGCCAATACTGTAAATACCGAATTACAGAAAATATCTACCTGGATGAGGACTAACAAACTTACACTAAACATTGACAAAACCTACTTCATTCAGTTTGGTAACAGAGCTACAGATGTACCTCTTAACATAACGATAAACGGATCACCTATCACAAAGCTAACAGAGGGAAAATTCTTAGGAATCCACCTCGATAATAGACTCAAATTTCATACACATATACAACAAATTTCTAAGAAAATTTCCAAGACTGTAGGCATACTATCGAAGATACGGTACTATGTTCCACAGTCAGCCCTCCTGGCCCTTTATCACTCTCTTATTTACCCCTATCTCACCTATGGAATTTGTGCATGGGGCTCAACAACAATTAACCATCTCAGACCACTAATTACCCAACAAAAGGCTGCAGTTAGAATGATAACAAATTCTCACTACAGGCAACACACTCCACCAATATTCAAAACACTCAACCTACTCACCATACAAAACATCCATACTTATTATTGCACCTATTACATACATAGAACACTTAACTCTGATATTAACCCTCCCCTCAAACATCTCCTTGCCAACCTCAACAGAACACATGACCATAACACAAGGCACAGATCACTCTTTGATGTTCCTCGTGTCCATCTCACGCTATGCAAAAACTCAATGCACATAAAAGGCCCTAAAATCTGGAATTCATTACCTGTAAATATAAAAGAAACACTACCTGTTTATAAATTCAAGTCTCTTCTCAAAGTTTACTTACTCACTCAAAACCAAATAAATACTGAATAACTGAACCTTATAAATTGTATTTCCAAAATGTTACTCACAACTATATCACATAAATGTTAAACCTAGGACCCAATCTAACTTTGTTATTTTTTTAAATACACTACCTAACAGAATACTCCATTCTACTGAATGAACAGCAATGCATGCAACCATATGACCTGTCTTTGTAATACTCATTTGTGCTTTATAGTTATCTGTTTACAATAATGTCTTATCACTGATTTCATCATTGCTTAGTTAATCTTAAGTTAATTTT